CTAAGAAAAATCTTTCACTACGCCCATGCCACCTTTTTTTTTGAAACAGCAACACCCTGTATGTGTATTAAGTCATTAAATGTAAAAAAAAGGAAAAAATTAGCCTATAACTGTTACATTTGTTTATTAGAACAGTTCGATAGTAACACTACAAAATATTTTTATTTATTGTTATCATTTTTCAAGATTCCTGTTTTTTTACCATAATAACAATTAAATAAATATGATAAAATAATGGCCCTAGAAATGAAACCAAAATTATTTTTTATTTACATTACAGAATTAATTTAGCAAAAGATTATTAGAATGGCAAGGAAAATGTAATAAACAAATTTCAGTGTTTGCGACCGTTAACCCAATGCGGGTCTTTGATCCCTCCTAACCTAACAGTTAATAAACAAATATTCAAATAACAATAAATTATATATACATAAATATAAGAATTAAAGATAAAACATACCGTTTTTTGCTTCGCAAATTCAATTCGTAGGCACAATAAAATAAAACACGCACTACATATCTCATTTCAGCAAAGCCAGTTGGGCGTTACAACTCACAACTGAAAAATCTCGTTTACCCTTTTATACGTTTAAGGATGCTGTACCGATCGATGCTTATAATCGCACATCGCATGCCGGTGTTAACAGTATCATCGAACATTAATAACTTTCGTTCAATACATAATTAAAGAAATGACGAAAAACTTTCTCCTTATCTGTGCACGTACATATTGTACCTATATTCATACATGAGAAACGTCTATGTAGAATAATACCATGCAAATAAGTAACATAGTTACAATGTTTAAATAAAATTAGTCAACTACTAATAAAACCATTTCGTATAAAGCAGTAAATGTTTAGGAGTCATAATTTTTATTTGTACGATTTTAATACTTTACTGTTGACGAATGTAAACATAAAAATTAATCAGACTGATAAATTATGAGACATTATTTCATTGTAAGTATTCATGTTGTATTTCTGTGCATGTTTACAAAAAATAATTCTAACTAAACTAAAAAGAAACTATTAATAAGTAAAAACATTCTTAAAAAAGTATGCGGATTGTGGACAGCACACCAGCAACAAAAAAACTGAAATCATGTGTAAACTATGTGACATTTTCTGTCAATATTTGAATTTTTCAAAATTTGAGGGGTTGGTCAAAATTGTTTGTAATTGCACTTGTTTTCAAAATTGTTTTTCATATGTGATTTCGTTAGTATAACCACTACAGAAATTGTTTATGGAAAACGTAAACAAGAAGAATAACACGAACAAGAATAAGAAGTATTGTCAGTTTAGTGAGGTTAGTAGTTATTCCTGTGCAAAAATGACGGGTAAACATGTCAAGAACCGTGGAAGATGAACAGTTTCCAAACGAGAAAAAAATTAGGTTTCAGTCAACTGCCAAGGTACTTTGGAATAATGGAAATAACATCGAAGATTTAATGAATTATGAAACAGCAAACATGAATAGTGAACCTGAAAAACATGTCAAAGGTGAGTTGTATTCCTATTTGATTTCCTTCACATTATTTTGATCATTTAATTAAAAAATAGATAAGATATCGTTATATGCTTATACGGAAGGAGACACATAGATCATTAGCAAAGGCAAGACGATTTGGCATCTGTTGTAAACTGTGATTACTCATACTTTCAAATAGCAAATATGTTACTTAAATTATGAGAAGAGTTCAAAGGTTCCCTTAAAAACGTTAAATGAAAGTAAGGGTATTTGTACAATATTGCAATGCATACAATAAAGTTATCACACCATACAGGGAATGTGTGTAGGTAATAGGTTTGTCATTTTTATTTTTAAATTTCTGTTGACATTTATAGTATAATAGGTAATTAATTACTTATAGGAATAGTATTTTTAAACAGTTATAAAGTACATTGTATCCTTTAGGTCAGAGTCAAACACCTTCTCTGTTATCATTTCTTCAAGTGGAAGTTACTAGGGGATATTTGTTGGAGCACGATGAAGAACGCTACTCAGCAAAAAGAGAAAAGGTGTACTCTTTTATGAAAATACCAAGAGAAGTTGAAAAATTCATGACATATGGCTTCATGCAATGCACTGACTCATTTTTATATGTTTATATATTTTTACCAATGAGGTTTTTGCTGGCATTGTGGGCATTAATAACCAGGCCAATATCTAAATGCTTTGGGTAATGATTACACATTTTTAAATTTATTATTAACATACTTGGAATTGAAAACTAAAAGAATGCAGTACATATTACGAATATTTCAAATATTTTTATATTAATGTCACAAACAGATAATCTTATTGTTATTTTTGTTTTGACATGCAATTATTTTAGGACCTAAATTTTTGTTTCATTTATTTTGTATAATACAATAATTCAACCGATTTAATCCTTTTAAAGAAAACTAATAACAATTTTAAAATAACTTAAGAGTAACATTCGTTGGGCAGTTTTCTCCTTTAGTAACTTATTCATTGTGAAGACTTGTTAATCGTTTATTAATATGAGTAATCGATTAATAAATTATTGTGTGCCTATTAAATGTTTATCATTCATTTTGTTATTTGTAGTTTACAGAACAGCTCTAAAACTGTGCTGACTCCTGCAGAAATATGTGATATACTTAAAGCCGCTATTGTTGTGATATGTAGCATGTTGATGTTCTATGTTGACACTAATATTATGTACCACTTAATAAAGAGTCAGTCTGTTATTAAGTTGTACATATTTTACAACATGTTAGAAGTCGCTGATCGGTTGTTTTCTGCATTTGGCCAGGACACGATCGATGCACTCTTTTGGACAGCAACCGAACCAAGGGACAGGCGGACTGAACACCTGGGTGTCATACCCCATATGATTTTTGCCGTTGCATATGTCTGTATCCTTTATTAGTTTTATATATTATTTAAGCTAATTACTAAAAACTAGGATGCTTGTATATTGTTCTTATGAAATTTCCAGTCCTACATAGTCTTTTAGTGCTATTTCAAGCAACTACGCTGAATGTGGCTATAAATTCAAACAATAAGGCTCTTCTGACCATAATGATGTCTAATAATGTATGTAACTGCATCCCTTAATTTTACCTTTCGACTCCCTGCCTCCGTTTTAGTAATGATAAATGTTTTATTTAGTTTGTAGAGTTGAAAGGGAGCGTGTTCAAGAAATTTGACAAAAATAATTTATTCCAAGTGTCTTGTAGCGATGTAAGGGAACGTTTCCATTTGGTCATACTATTGTTGGTCGTTACTTTGCAAACTATGAAAGAATATTCATGGAAATCAGAACGATTTTGGGTTTTACTCCCCGACTGCGTTGTCGTTTTGGTAGCTGAAATATTCGTTGATTGGATAAAACACGCTTTTATAACGAGATTTAACGAACTTCAGTTGGATGTTTATAGGGACTACACGACCAGTTTGGCCTATGATATGGCCCAGACCAGACAAAAACATGCCTTTTCAGATCATTCAGACTTAGTGGCCAGGCGAATGGGGTTCATCCCTTTGCCACTAGGCGTCGTAATGATTAGGGTCTTAGTCCAATCAATCCATATAAACAGCTTTTCATCTGTACTGATATGTATCTTGGGATACTTATGTATTGGTTCACTTAAGGTGCTGATAAGCATAATTGTCCTTGGTATGGCATGCTATTTTATTGAGCAGCACAAACAGGAAAAAGCTTTAATAAATTCGCCGTTTAGTAACAGGACTCACAGTCCTAGTCCTTCACTGAACAAAGGTGGTGCTCAAAAAGATACAGCCACAAGTCCTCTTAAGCCTGCCATCAATGTTGACAACAACTCATCCAGTAAACTGAACGAAAATTCGAATGTAGGCTTTAAGTCATCGAATTTAGCGTTAAATGCTGGTGGAGATTGCACCTTGGGTTCCACTGCAATATTTGCGAATAGCACTGTCGACTTGAAAAACGCCACCCTCAATGAAGAATTACTAAAAGTTGAAGGTGATAACATTAAAATAGAACCTGCACCTAAAGTGGACGAAATTATTACGAGAAGTGAACCAAATATAAATTCGGAATATGTAGAAGAGGTTGTTGAAAACCCCGTCTACGAAAATTGTGAACCTGGGTTGAAAAAGAGGGCAGAGTCCGAACCATCGTTGGCTTCGTGTGGAGAGACTGAAAACCTGAGCTAACGCTAGTCCATGTATATCTTGTTAATTTTGTACTTGTATTTTTTACGAAAAGAATAGTATGTTGCATTAATTTATCAATGTTGATCGATCTTTCGCAGTACGATTTGTATTTCGCGTCGTTGTATTAAACAATGCTGAAAGTGAATTATTGGTAACAGATACTTTTTATGTGATTAAAGAAAACCGGGTTGTTGTATTTTAAAAATTGTATGGAAATATTGATTAATAAATAATCATGCACTAAATCAAGTTTATCTATTACACAATTATACTGGGTGCTGACTGAAGTAAATTGAAATATAACGTTCATTTATCTGTACCTATTTAAACACTACCTCCGTATTGCTATCAAGTGTAGATAGAAAAGATGACTATTCTATTACGAAAGAGTTGCCTCTCATAGAGTTTCCTGTTTTAAAAAGAAAAATAGAACCTTTCTAGAACCATATCTGTCAATCTTTTATAATACCTAGTTTGCTTAGAAACTGACTTGCGCAGAAACTTTAAACAGCACGTGATGAAATAAAACAAGCAGTGAATAGTTAGCGTGAGTAAAGAGTAAAGGCTGCAAATTTTCTACGTTTAAGCTCGTTTTCTTTCATAATTTCTAAAACGATACCTGAAAACTACAAGTTTACATATTTTGAATTCGTGTTGCTTTCCCTTTGTTTCGTGAGGACCTCTAACACCGGTCGAAATACTTTACATTCGTTGTATTTAAATAGACGTTTTATTCATTTTGTAGCGCAGAAGTTGGTAATAGTACAAAAATTGGTTCGGGATTATAATAACGTGATAATTCGGTATGTAGTGAGTGTTTTTGTGCTCGTGAATTTCGTGGTACAGTTTTTGACTTGATACAATATCTAGTGCAAGTGAAAAGTGTCGAAAAACTGAAAATGACTACTGCTTAGGTAAGTTTATCATATTGATAATTGCATAATTATAAGTTTAAATTTGAAGCGTTATTTATTTTGGTACGTTAGTTCCAAAAGTAGGTACTTTTTCGTATTTTCTATTGTTAATTGCCGTTGTACATTTAGTTTTCATTCAGAATAACAGGTACATATTAAGATTTATTGAAACATTAACATAATAAATTGATTTAAAGCGAAATGCTTGTTAAGGTAAAAAGCTAATTTTAAGACGTTGCAGTCCCATTTTCGCATTTTGCAATTAGTAAACAATTATATATTATATAAAAAAGTTTCTGATAAACCAAGAAATACTAAAATTGAAAAACTAAAGTTAAAGTAGACGGTACTCTTTTCTAGCAAAAATTTATATGTTGAATTTCGTGGTACAGTTTTTGACTTGATACAATATCTAGTGCAAGTGAAAAGTGTCGAAAAACTGAAAATGACTACTGCTTAGGTAAGTTTATCATATTGATAATTGCATAATTATAAGTTTAAATTTGAAGCGTTATTTATTTTGGTACGTTAGTTCCAAAAGTAGGTACTTTTTCGTATTTTCTATTGTTAATTGCCGTTGTACATTTAGTTTTCATTCAGAATAACAGGTACATATTAAGATTTATTGAAACATTAACATAATAAATTGATTTAAAGCGAAATGCTTGTTAAGGTAAAAAGCTAATTTTAAGACGTTGCAGTCCCATTTTCGCATTTTGCAATTAGTAAACAATTATATATTATATAAAAAAGTTTCTGATAAACCAAGAAATACTAAAATTGAAAAACTAAAGTTAAAGTAGACGGTACTCTTTTCTAGCAAAAATTTATATGTCATTGCTTATAACAAATACTATTCTTCTTAAATAATTTTCAATTTCTAGAATGTATTATTTTAAAGAAACGTTTACTTTGGAATAAACACTTTTTATTTGATGCATCACACGTATTAAAGATGTAACTAAGGTACTTTCTTATCGCAGACCCTCGCTCGAAATAGGCATTCGAATGCAAGCAAAAAACTGGCAGTGACTTTCCTATGCCCTTGTAAACTACAAGTAACATGTTTTTATGTGGTTTTAGATGCATTTTTATGTTAAAATACATCGGCTTAAGTAAAGTTATTTAACAGTGTGTAATTTGTACACGAAAATAAAAAATGTGACAGGTATAGTCTCTGTTGTAAATGAAGATACAAAAGAAGAAATAATTGCGTAACGTTGTAGATAATTTTATCGACAACTATTTGAATTATTTTTGTTACAAAATTTTCTATTTTCGTACATAATAACATAGTATGACGAACAGTTGCGTTTTATACCCTAACTTTTGTTTGAAAACATATACTTCAAGAATATCTAAAACAATTTTTGCTTTGAATTAAACATGATTTATATGCACTATAAATTTTATATTACTTTATGCCTTCTATAAAGTAATTAATTATTGTTAAAATAAATAATAGTGATTATAATAAGTAGTTTAAAACAAATTAAATTGTAATACCAGCGCCCTTCTGTTGTAAACTTATTTATAAAAGTTATGAACAACATTTATTGCCTTATTTTTGATACAGAAGTTAATAATATAAACTGAATTTTGTGTAAAACTGTCCGAAGAATTGAATTTTATAAATTATATGATCTGTGCTGCCATCAATAGTGTGGTATACCAAGGAATAGAACGTGCTTAACAGAATTTTATTTTGCCTGTCTTGTTAAGAAACACTGGCGATTTAGTTATTACGGAGTAGATGGCGCAACAATGTCTTTTGATAGAAAATTAAACCTTTAAATATTTAAACGGAAAACGAATTTTTGCTAATTAGTAAATTATTCTCAGTAAATTTTAAGATGTATTACTTTCAATGATTAAACATCAAACATAAATAGATAATTAATAAAAAGTATGCGGGTAGATGTTACAGCTTTTAATACATTACAAAAGCTTTTAGAGACATTTTTTCTATCCTTTAACTAACAAATAAAACAAAATAATTGTTAATTGATTCAGGGACACTATTCTCAATATAGTTAGCAGTAATCTAAAAGAAACTACAGATTTGTTCGTTGAAGGGGTGTTTCTATTTGTGATTTGTGCCACTTGGTTGCCATTTTCTACTTAATTCACAAAACAGGATTAATGAATAGATTCATACAAAGTGCAGGCAAACGGTTTTTCTTCACAATTTTAGTTTCTCATTTCCCAGAAATAAATTAGAGGACAACATGTCTTTGGTGTATTTGATAATAATTTTAAAGTTTTCCCTTTTCTGTTGTAAGTCAAAAGAAGATAATACTAAAATGGGAAGATAGATAGCTATTATACTAAATAACTTCTTCTAATATTGAAAAATATTCTTGTCAATATGATTTATTTATTTTTCTAATGTGGATATAAAATGGGATTTTGTTCCTTAAAATTTTCTTTCTTTAAAAAAAGAAATTGTATGTAAAGGCACTAGATACTTATATATTATGTAAATGGAATTTTGTGTATAACTATCACAAACGAAGTATATCTTCCATCCTATGAATGGTGGGGGATTTCCAAAAGGCTTATTGATTTTGGTGGAAAAAGGAAACATCAACAGCGCGCCGTCGTCGATTCAAGGTAAACCTCGCGAGAGAGGCGTCATTGTCAAGTTTACGTTAGAGTAAAGCTGAATTTCTGTTTCACTCATTGAAAGAAAATTGTGTGTAAATCAGGGGCATATAAATATACAAATATATACAGATTTATATATTACTAGCAACCCGCCCCAGCTTCGCACTGGTGCAATGCTGATACTAAATGTATTTTTGTTATGTTTAGATTATTATCGAGGAGGGGAAATCTTCAAAAGACACCCCCTGAACATACTAAATATACTACAGAATGTCTTTATATACAACATTCACAGTTTTTTGTCATTAGACAATACAAACCGGCCGGTACCGCTGCAACCGCTATGTCCCTGCATTTTAAATCTGTAATATCTTCGAAAATATTAATTTAAATTACATGCTGTAAAGGGCCATATTGATCTATATTAAATGCACAATGTATTTAAGGTACTTCATTGGATAAGAATTAATGCTATATTGCTTAAAATCGCTTCGTAAATAAGTCATTATTTCTCATAAAAAGTAAAGGATAAAAAATGGTTATTGTGGGTTATCCCTAAGAGATAGACATATACCATCGCGGACTTTTTTGTAGACCTTTTTATGAATTACAATACTGTACTACAGTTTTTTGAACTATCTCGTAGGGTTCAGCCAGCGTTTGCAATGTAAGCGCGAAAAAATGTGTTTATTTACGACATCACATCAGAAACCTCTAGAATTATCAGTGTTTCCTTACTATATTATGCATGTATTATACATATGAACCTTCCTTTTGAATCACTCTATCTTTAAAAAAAAACTGCATCAAAATCCGTTGTGTAGTTTTAAAGATTTAAGCATACATAGGGACAGACAGCGGGAAAGCGACTTTGTTTTATACTATGTAGTGATATAGTAAAAGGCAAATTTCGTTGTGTACAATAACAAGATAACACTAGCGTTAAAAAACTAATCACTATACATATTTTATTACGTAGGTACTAGGAATGCAATACTTACTTTATATTTACTTTAATTCAAACTTCCGGACGTAAGGACATCTTCCTTACTACATCAGACTCCCCTGGCAGTATCCGATATGTAGAGCCTTTTGTCCCACATATATTATTAAAGAATAGTGTTTTCATTCTCTCTTTCCCACCCCCTGTTAACCAACAGGTAGCCGGTTGGCCTTCGTGTCGAGAAAAACTATTTTCCGTGACGTTAGCTAATGAATGGTCAATGAGACGACGACGCCCTAACGAAAATAGGTAAAGGGGATGCTTTTATTTAGAACAAAGTTGTTCTAAACGAGTATCGGCCACTGGGGGGTGGCGGTAATGGGTGCAAAATGCAGTTATTTTAATGTTGAAGTGTGATATACCTCGCCCACCCTAGTTGCGGCTGCCCTGAAAGGGGGTCGCGGCGGCGCCGTCCAGTGACGTGAACGCTTACGTAAGCAGCGACGCTCTGACGTAAGCGCGATTCGTTTCCGTGGTTACACCGTTCCCTGAAACATCGAATCCAGAATGGGAAAACAGGCGATAAACGAGCAGAAGCCGACCTAGACAGTGACATTGCCGTGAAAAACACGCGTTTAAACCTATTGAAAAGCGAAATTGTTTAATACGTGATGAACATCCAACGACCCTCAATCGATATGCACACGCTCGTGAATTATTTTAACGACTTCGACTTTATGAAACTGTTGAATAAATATCATCATAAGTTCGTCAGTCCAAA